ATATATTTATATATTAATATATTAATATATTTATATATTTATATATTTATATTTTTATATTTTTATATATTTATATTTTGATATATTTATATATTGATATATTTATATATTTATTTATATCCTTATACATTTATATCTTTATATATTTATATATTTGAAAAAAAAATATTAAATTTTAAAAATAATATTATATTTTTAAAAATAAATATTAGAAAAAGATTTAAAAATATATATAAATTATATTTACATTTACAAAATATTAAAGATATATGTTTATATCTTTACATATTTTTATATATATTTATATGTTTATATTTTTACATATCTTTACTATCACTAACGGTTGCACCATCGCTCGAGCGAGATTAGAGTCGCTCAAGCGAAATACAACCCGAGAATGCCACTTTTGTGCAGGGGCGTTTCGCTCGAGTTAGAATTTTTCGCTCAAGCGAAATACATTTTAGATAGCGGTTAGAAGGGGAACCGCTCTTAAAAGCTCACTTAGATAGCGGTTAAAGCATGAATCGCTTATTATATGGTTTCAATTATGATCGGTCAGAATGCGGTTATGACCGATCATAATTAAAACTTACATTAACTATTTTTTTATATTATGTTTTTAAATTTTCTATTAGAGAAAACCTTTCAGAATTTAAAATGTTAAATACTTTTAAATATTAAAATTAACTTTATAAAAAATTAGGAAAAAGAAATTAATCCAAAAGAGTTCAAAAATGTATTATAATATTGTCAATTTTGAGTTTAATTATATTGTTCATTCTCAAAGGAGAAAAATATATTGTAATTATTTTAATTTAATAAAATATAATTTAAAATTTTAATACTAAAATTAAAAGATTAAATAATAATAAATTTAATTCTTTAAATTCAGATAGCTAGAAACTAAAATTATAGTTTCTCTCGTTTGAAATAATTAAAATAAATATTTAAAAATAAAAATCAAAACTAGTATTATCTTAAATTTATTAAAAGTGTAATTAAATCTCTATTTTCTTAATTTTATTTGTTTCAAACTTCTCAATTCTACATTTTTGTAAGTTCTATCATTATATTATCATCCTCATCTCCTCCCATGTTCTACTTTATCTTTACAATAGTCAATATTCTTAACTAATTTATAGTTTTAATTATAATTTTTTAGTATATATTTCGAAATTAATCAATTCTAATCTATTATTTGAAAAACTAATCAATTCTAATCAATAATTTAGAAAACTAATCGATTATAATTAATTATTTGAAAAAATTATCAAATATGATCGGTCATTTTGAAAATATAATCGATCAGAATCGGATTTCAGCTTGAGCGAGTAGTCTCGCTCAGCGAAATACACCTCAGATATCTAATATGCACTTTAGATAGCGGTTATGAGGGAACCGCTATTATATCCTCTCAATTATGATCGGTCATTTCAAGTTATGATCGATCAGGATCGTATTTCGCTTCGAGCGGAGTAGTGTCGCTCAAGCGAAATACAACTCGAGAATGCGAATGCTGTGCAGTTGGAGTTTCAGCTCGAGCGAGAATATTGTCGCTCAAGCGAAATACATTTTAGATAGCGGTTCCACAGGAACCGCTCTTAAAAGTGCACTTCTAATAGTAGTTAACCATTAACCGCTATCTTAATTAAACTTTAGATAGCGGTTAAGGTGGAACCGCTATCATATCATCTCAATTATGTTTTGCAAAATGCCTCTACAAATGTTTTTAACAATTAAAAACAAAGTATTTTGACAAAAGCTTTCTCAAATGCCTCTACAAAGTATTTTTAACAATTATAATGAGTTTAATTCTACAAATTAAAAGATTAAATAATAATAAATTTAATTCTTTAAATTCAGTAGCTAGAAACTAAAATTATAGTTTCTCTGTTTTAAATATTTACAAATAAAAATCAAAACTAGTATTATCTTAAATTTATTAAAAGTGTAATTAAATATCTATTTTCTTATTTTTATTTGTTTCAAACTTCTCAATTCTACATTTTTGTAAGTTCTATCATTATATTATCATCCTCATCTCCTCTCATGTTTCTACTTTATCTTTACAATAGTCAATATTCTTAACTAATTTATAGTTTTAAATATATTTTTTTAGTATATATTTAGAAATTAATCAATTCTAATCTATTATTTGAAAAACTAATCAATTCTAATCAATAATTTAGAAAACTAATCGATTATAATTAATTATTTGAAAAAATTATCAAATATGATCGATCATTTCGAAAATATAATCGATCAGAATCAACTATCGCTCGAGCGAGATAGACTCGCTCAAGCGAAATACAACCCGAGAGTACTTATTTTGTGCAGGGGGCGTTTCGCTCGAGCGAGAATGTTGTCGCTCAAGCGAGATGACGTTTAGATAACGGTTACACAGGAACCGCTCTTAAAATATGACTTAGATAGCGGTTAACCCTTGAACCGCTATTATATGGTTTCAATTATGATCGGTCAGAATACATTTATGACCGATCATAACTATTTTAATCGATTAAATCTCATTTCAATCGATTAAAACAGATTCTGCACAGCGTTTTAATCGATTAAAACTTATTTTTATCAGTTAAAATAACTTGAAAAGTTTTAGGAGAAAGTTTTGCGAGTATTTCAATCGATTGAATCGCGAAACAATCGATTAAATCAACTTAGAAGATTTTTTGTAAAGTGTTTTAATTGATATAAGCGTTGTCAGTATCAGTTAAAACAAATCAGTTAAAGAATCAAGAACGTATTAGTGAATTAAAAGAAGTTTTAACAAATTAAAGCTGCACTTTTAACAGATTAAAAAAATCTTTTAACAGATTAATTAAACCAGCGAGTTTTGAAAATCTTCTATAAAAACAGTTTGGCTTGAACTTTTTTAACATACATTGAATATATCATCTTTAAAAAATAAATAAATTTATATATATATATATATATATATATATATATTTTTTTTGCATTTTAATTTTCAAATATTAATTTTTTATGAAATTAATTTTAATTAAAAAAATTAAAGTGATATATATATATATATATATATCCAACTATTAAATTATTCAAGATATTAATATAAATTTAAAATATCAATTCAGTAATTAAAATAATTTTAATTTTTTATAAATACATTGAAATACATTTTTATTAACATACAAGTAATATATATATATATATATATATATATATATATATATATATATAAAGACTAAATTAATAATTAATTTAATTATTGATTTAGTGACCGATTCGATGATAGAATCAGTGGACGATTCAATGACTGATTCGGTGACCGAATCGATGATCGAATTAGTGACCAGATTCGGTGATCGAATCAATGACCGATTCGGTGACTAATTTAATAATCAATTTTAATTTTTTTATTCACATGCTAAATAAAAAAATAAAATCAAATAATTATATTACTAAATTATTTAATAAGTTAGTAAACAATTTTTTTAAAATATTTATAATGTTATTAAAAATGTTATCAATTATTTTAAATTATTAAGTAAATTTATATTTAAAATATTTTAAATAAAATATTTATATAAATGAAAAATAGTTATCGAGTGTAAAAATTATTTTTTTAGTGACTGAAATTTTAGTCACTAAATCGAGTTACTAAATATAAAAAAAATAATAATTACATAAATTAAATATAGATTAATTAAAAAAATAAATTAAATAATAAAGTGACTCGAAATAGTAACTCGATTTTATGTGACCGAAAATTCGGTTACTATTTCGGTTACTAGACTAAAAAATAATAATTTGGTTACTTGATTCGGTCATTGATAGTAACTAAATTTTTCGATCATCGATTTCGGTTACTTATTTGATATTTTTCTAGTAGTGACATCTCGAGTTAGAACCTTAGAATTTGTACTAAAATGTGGAAAACTAGTAGTTATGCTTGAATAATTACGGTATGTTTTATATATCTAGATGAAGAGTTACATTCAGATTCAAATCATGTCTTGAAGTTTGATTTAATTATGGTAAAAAATGTTTCTTTTTCTTTACATAAACATCAGTCAAAAGTCATGATTACTTGGTGAGTGAAGGAATGAATGAAACCATCAACTAGTCAAAGTTGTGTAGGATGCTAGGATAAATGTTTTCTTAGTATTTATAGGAGAATATGCTTGAAGTTTATTAATATATTTTCTTTAGTAAATAAATTTTTAAGGACATAAATTTTTCATATTGGAAAAATGGAAGTAATAGATTTTCATGAGTCTCGAGTAGGATGTGTTTAATATTAATAAATGATGGAAATTTAAGTTTAGATAAATTTTTAAAGTTATAAATAGAAAAATTTAACATTTCTCATTTCTTATTTATTAAAATTATCATCTCTTAAAAATTTTGTTTTTTTTTTACTCTTCTCTAAAATTTCTATCTTCTCTTTAACTTTTTTTAGTTTCTTCACTAGTGAAAAAAAGGGTTTTTACGTCACCCAATTGTCGTCGCATGTAAAAATATTCGACGTAAATAAAACGCGGTGACAATTTTGTAAATAAGAGACAAAACTTTTACGTCGCGTCCTGGGGTGCACGACGTAAAAAGTCCCTTTTATTCCCCCAGCAAGGGTCTCTCAGGTCTCACCAGTTCTCAGGTCTCTCCTGCTTTCTTCCATTCCTCCATATCCTCACATTCAAACCCTAATTCCAACCATTTGCATCTTCCATTCACACGCACTTTTATTTTGTTAATGTTTATTTGATTTCGATAAATTTCACGTGGCAGGAAATACTCACAACCCTCTCACAAAGTAACGAAGAGTACAAGTATGATTATGCCACAATCCCATTTCTCGCCGAGGTTTTCAAGGTAAATTAATAAACACTTCATGCGTCAATTTTATTTGATAGGAACCGAGTTTTGATGCTGCATAATAGCGGTTGCTTATTTCATCTTTGCTAAACACTCAACTTGCGGTGTCAAGTTTGTTATTGTGGAGGGAATGCCAAAAGTCACCTCTGCCAAAGATGACGACGGAGGGGAAAATGGTTGCCCTGTTCCCGATTCCCTCAGTTATATATCTCATCCACAATAATGTGCAGTTTGCTACACTCACTTATGTGGATACTTCCACCTATCAGATAATGGGAAATTTGAAGATTGTTACGACTAGGGTACTATTCAGGTGCCTTCTCTTTTCACAGTTCAGATTTCAAATCAGTGTTGTTGTTTTCTCAGTTAGTGACTTTCTTTTATTTCTTTGTAGGATGTTCTTAGGTAGGAGGCTTTCTAACTTGCAGTGGATGGCTATTGTGTTATTGGTCGTCGGGACAACCACTAGTCGAGTGCCAGAAAATTGTGTCTCACAAATTTGGTTTTGTGCCTTTTAAATTTTGTTTATAAGAAGTTATCTACTGTGCTTTATGCATTGTTTGATATGGATAATGAACTTAAAATCAGTGTTGAGGAGTTAGATGAATATCTAGTTCCGACGTTTGTTAGTGGTTGTGTAGCTGTGATGCAATAGGTCTGGATAAGTTTTATTTGTCATTTTCTTATGCGTCACTCTCATCTCCTAAGGTCATTTTCATACAGAAAAATGATTCCTTTGTTGTTTCCTTTTGGAAGATGCCTCACTTGCACTACTTCTACTATATCCTTTCCTTAGAATAATATATATTGAATAATATATGACTTTTTTTCACTTAAAATCGTGTCTGAAACTAATGTTCTAAGTGGAATACCTAGAACAAAGACTTTACAGTTCATTTATCCTAAGGTTAGAAACTTATTTATATAAGTGAATACCATAATTATTGTTTGTATTTAAATTTTGAAAATAACATTATGTTTTTTTGCATCATTTCAGTGTAATAAGCAAACAAACTCGTTTGAATGTGGTTACTATGTTATGTATTGGATGAGAGCCATAGTTTGTGCGGGTATAATTGATTCTTGGACGGAGGTAATTGTTTTTAACATTAGTTAAGTTTATTTAACTTTATTTATGTTGCATGTTTACAAGAGTCAAATTAATGTTTCAGGTATTTCAAGATTCATCTCCATTACCAGAATATGATATTACACAAATTAGAGAACAATGGGCAAAATTTTTTGTTCAACAATTCTAGTACATAATTTTTTAAGTTCTTGTTCATATTATATTGTGTGTATTATGTAGTTTAGGTAGCTTAGTTTGTATTAACTTTTAGTTTGTAATAGATTTTTTAGTTTGTATGTTTGTATATTTGTATTATATTGTTTTATTATGTAGTTTGAATTATATAATATTATATTTTTAATTTACTATCTAAAGAAAATTGAACATCTGGACTGTCTAGTTGTAATATATATTTGCAGGTTTTAGTTGTAAAACAGAATCAACCCAATTTAAAAAAAAAATAGCAAATTTACGTCGCATATTGGTATATGTGACGTAAATTTACGTCGCGTATACCAATATGCGACGTAAATTTGCTATTTTTTTTAATTTTTGAAAGTTTTTACGTCTGTTTAGTGGTATATGCAACGCAAAATTACGTCGGGTCTTGATAACTAACGTAAATTTACGTCGGGCTAAAGGGTCCGACGTAAATTTACGTCTCCCATTTTAACGTCAATCTTAAATACGACGTAAAAAGCCCTAAATACCTAACGTAAAAGTCCCTTTTTACACTAGTGCTTGCTCATCCTTTTTTAAGATTCGAGTCTATCTTATTAGATCTAGTAGAGAGTACATCATTTTTTCATTAATTATATTTTCAAATAGACTAAAATCCTCTTTGACCATTTTTCTAGAGTGTTTTGTATATGAGAATTTTTGGCTCGGACGTGGGCATGTAGAGTTTATATGAGTGCTTTCTTAGGCAAAGGTGAAATTGACTACTTTAACATAATGATGCATTTAATTTGTTGATTAAGATTTTTAGTGAGTAGAATTGAGCTTCTTGTTAGAATGGGTAAATGGGAGCTTTGAGGACTTGGAAACTAGGGAAAAAGCAAAGAGAGGAAAGAGAAACTAGTTCATTTTTCATTTCATAGTACTTTAGCCTAGCTGACCTCAATGTGATAGAGTAATCTGGTTATTAGGATTTTTTTGTTAAGAATTGAGTTCAAACTAAGTCTTGTATTACAAACTAAATTAATTTTGTATTATATATTGATTTAAATTACAATATGATTTTGGTGGAGTTTATGGTTTCCTGAATTAAATGGACGGATAAGTTAACTAGGGTAGTAACATTAAGCTATATTTGGGTAGAAATCATATTAGAAATGTTAGAAATGATTGGTGTGCATTGTGACTGGTTTTAGGATATTACATTGAGGTTCATATCAACATAATTTTTATTTAAAAGTTTCGCTTGAACAACGATTGAAAGCGGTTTTGAGTTCATTTTCATTCAAACAAAAATGTTCAGATGAAAATAGAGTTTAGCTCTATTTTATTTTCACTCAAACGACATCTTTTCCTATCAAGCGAAAAATCAATCTAGTTAGTTGAGTAAGTAGAATTCATGGCTAAGTAAGTTCACTTAACTGTATTTTATCAACTTCTTTTATTTGAATATTTATTATTGTGTATTATTTTACTAAGATTTTAAAAACTAATTATAAGTTAGGAAGATTATACATTAAAAAAAATTAAAATTTTTGACGGACAAAATTTGTCGGTAAATATTATTGACAAACTATCATTGGTAAGTAGGTATTTTATTATTTTTTTAGAAATTTTAATTATTATTCGATTAAGAAAATTTATTTATTTATTATATTTTTTAGATATTTGTATTATTATTCGATTAAAAGAATTGTGACTAGCAAGATTCAAATCCAAGTACCTTAAAAGAGTTGTAGACTGATACTCCAACTACTAAACTATTAGGATTTTCCGATAATAATTTACAAATAAATTATATTTATATATAAATAAAGTATATTCATGTAAATATATAAATATATATAAAATATATAAATACAAATATATATATATATATATATATTTTTTTTTTTTTGATATATTTATATGTTGGATGTGAAAGTGTGTGTGAAGTGAGTTTTCAAAATTTTGATGCCAAATTTGTGAGTGAATATCTTTATATGAGTTTGTAATTTAATGATAGAATATAATCTTTATAATTTATTTATATAATGATATAAAATAATTTTTATTTTTTTCTTCTATTATTTAATTAAAATTCTTATATTAAAATAATTTTTTCAATATTAAAAATACTTAAATATTTCTTTTTAATTTTTTTTAAATTATTTAATTTAATAAATTATTATAAATTAATCTTATTGTGATTGAATTAAATTATTAAATAAAAAAGTATTTAATTTTTTAATTAGGTGAATAATTAATTTATTAGAATATATTTAAAATTAAGTAATTATTATATAATTTTAAATATTTAATTTCTTTAATTTAATGTTGATTTTTAAAAATATATTTTAAATCCCTCGATAATGTCCGTCGGTAAATAATTGTTAATTTACCGACGGATATATACGTCGATGGTTAATTGTTTATTTACCAACATTATTAATTTACCGACGGATATATCCGTCGATAATTAATTATTCATTTACAGTGAACTTATCGACGGATATATCCATCGGTAAATAATTATTTATTTATTAACATATATATTTATCGGTAATTAATTGTTTATTTACTGACGGATATATCCGTTGGTAATTAATTGTTCATTACCCACGGATATATTTGTCGGTAAGATCAAATTCCACAACTACTTTAAATCCGTCGATAATCAATCATTTTTTGACGACTACATAACCGTCGGTAAATATCCGTCGATAATTAATAATTTTCTTGTAGTAATACAATGTTATTAAATGATAATTTAAGTGCAAAACCACCTTTTGACATCGTGTTATCTATGTCGACTATATGAAAATCAATTTAAATGTAAAAATGGTGGAATTTTTGTAATAATTAACAAACTTTCTACATTGATTATTAAAACAAACTGATGTAGTATTCATCACTTTACATCTTCTTATTTTCATACTATTGCCCTAAAAATTCTTATTTTTATTGTGTTGTCGTCGCCGTTGTACTTTCTCAAACCTCGTCCTCTGCAAAGATGACCATCTTCAAAACTTCTTATTTTTGAAACTTTTCTTCTCCAAATTTATCATGTTCGAAGTTTTTTCTTTTCAATGTTCCTCCTCTCCAAATCTCTTCATTTTCAATGATTGTTCAACCACCGCAACGAAACAAAGTTATTGTTTAATTATCCAATTGTTAGCACCCTAACGCGAAAAAGAATGAACATGAAACTCTTCTCTACTGTCTAGGACATTGTCATTATTCCTCTATATCATTATCACCTCTCATCTCTCTTTTGCTACCATCATTCTAGGTAAGTACATCAGTATTATTTCTTTTACTAATTATATGCTAAACTTTATTAAGAATGGATAAAAAATTATCATTGATGTTATATATTGTTATTAATATTGTTATGTTGTATTGTGTGAGAAAAGATAAAAAATAAATAACACTCAATCTATCATTATGTGAAAAAAATGTTGACATTTATGAGTATGATACATATTTTCTTTTTAAATGACATATAACATTAGTTATTTTTACAACCGATATTATATATCAATTTTTTACATCAATTGTGAATTGATGTAAAAACTCACACACTTTCTACATTAGTAGCATTTACATCGGTTTAACAATCGATGTAAAATGCTTAAAATAATCGATGGGAAAAATCCTATTTTCTAGTAGTGAGATATTCATATTGAATGGATATATGTTTAGAATGAGAATAATGAATCAAAAAATGTTGTTTGAAAAGATAAGTTGTGTGGTTTGTATATGATATTGATGGAACTAGTAGTTGTTAAAGAGGTACTACTCAATTGGTTAAGTAAAGTGTGAGTATTAACTTATACGCTTAGATAATAAGAGATATTTAGGTGTTATTAATAACCTCAACACATAGATTATGGTTCGGATGATCAAGAGTTGATGAAAATTTTTGTCAAATAATGAGAGTGTAAAATTGTATCATTGACTACTTGACAAATATACAAATATAAGATGATCAAACAGACTTGATCTTACATATTTGTCCGTCAACTCATCTTAAATTAGTGGATTAGATTGGTAATTATAAACTTTTAACCTATTTTACTTCATCCCATCCACTGGATAGGTCAGACTAGATTTGATAGACTAATCTACTAATCAATTTTTTAAAATTTATTTATATATTAAAATAAAAATAATAATAATAATAATAATTGTAATTTAAAATATTATATTTTTTCAGTATATAATTTATAATAACTATTTTTCTTATATTATTTCTCTCTATTTATACGCAATTATATATTTGATAAAAAATACTATATTATAAAATATGACAGCAAATGCAGTTAAAAAAAATATATCATACTATAGATAAGGCCTTAAGCTAAATAATTTTGCATGTAGATATTGAAGTGAAGATAGAAATTAGGGTAGATCTTAGATAACGAAAC